TACTGACAGCTATGGGCACCACATGTGAGACCAGCTTTAACGTTTAAAAGGTAGATTAGTTGGCCTGGCTACCCCTTAATTGCCTGCCAAATTTTCCTTTACAAGTTAAGCAAGTTGCAGGTAGTCCTTGGGTTACAATAGCAGTTGGGACCATAATTTCCATCACTAAGCAATGTGGTTGTAAAGTGCGACATCACATGACTGCATTGCTTAACAGTGGCAGTCCTGGTTGCTGTCAAAACCCCAGGGCCATGCGGGTTGTTAAGTGAGGACTTCCCATGACCATGACGTGGGAAGAGGCGGGAGTCCCAGGCAACCAGGCCGGTGGGGGAGAGCTGCGGGTGAGAGGCACCGGTGGGTGGGCGCTGCAGACAGGCACTATGGAGCACGGGTGGGGGTGCGGGGGCGACGGGCGGGTGGGTGAAAAAACAGCGGGAGTGGAAATGGCTTGTGATCTCCTGCCGGCTTCCCTATTGACTTTGCTTGTGGGAAACTGGCAGTGAAGGTCGCAAATGGCAATCATGTGACTGCGGGGATGCTGCGATGGCTGCAACTTCCTGGACTGGTCATAAGCCCCCGTCATTCACTGTCGTAACTTTGAATGGTCGCTGAACAAATGGTCGTAAGCCGAGAACTACCTGTAGAAAATGTAGTTCAGTTGCCAATAGATTCAGCTGGTGAGACATTGATTTTAAAGGTATTAATCCACTGTTATTGGCCCTTGTTATTGTTTGCTATCTGGTTCTCTATTATGATTTACTACCTGGTGTGATCCTGTTGATTGGGGCAACGCTTGTGGCGGAGGAGTGTTGTGTAGACAAGGAAGTTGTCAGTTTGTGGCCCTTATGCAAGTCTCTGGCCTGCATTGGAAAATGTGAGAATTGCCAGTGGGGTGGGGTGGGGTGTCTTTTGCCATCATTGCTCTTCTTGCCGGTGGCATGATACCATGCTCCCTTGGGAAATTCTCTGCCTTGGGGAAGGGCCCAGGTTCTGCTCTGACATGCTTAGGTTGATCTTTGGCTCGGCTACTGAGTTTGGGAACACGATGTGCGCGCAGCATGCCAGGGGCTTTTCTGTAGGGACAGGGCAGGATCGCCCCTGGAAATCTTGTTGGGGTCCCAGGATAGGGCCCAGCTGCTGTCCCATCAACCCTTATGGCCATGTTGGTTCCTGTTATAGGTAGGAGTAACCCATATGCTAACCTGTGGAAATATGCACACAAATTGTGTGGATGTCACATCCATATCTCACAATCTTAGGTAAGCTTAGAGACCGCAGGACTCGCTGTTTTTACTGTTAAAGAGAAGAAGGTTCAAAGGGCCTAAGTCTGCAGTTAAGAGTTAGCAGCAGGAATGGTGACCAGAGAGCAGACGTTTGCAGGGTTGCTCTTGTCTGGATGGGGGTAACTAATGATCCCCCCGTTAGATAGGCCAGGCGCTGTTTTACTTAAGTCCTTGGGCAAACTGGACTCAGAAAAAGAGACAAAAGGTTGGACTGTGCCGGACTGTGTAAGTCCTCCTTTAGCGACTTGCTTTGGGTCTGCAGGCTGGGCTTAGCCTTTCAGGTGTCTGGTCCTGTTCACCTGCTGAGAAGGTGGAATGAAAGGGGCCTCTGAGGGCATTTATTCAAAGAAGCGGCTATCTGCTTTCAAACAAGACTGAAATGGGGCTCTGCATCTCTGAGCACCTGTTGTCTTAACGGCACAGTCCTATCAGAACGATGCACCTGGTAGCAAAGACAGATTTCTGCAGGGGGACTGTCTGCAACAGCCCTATTCTTCATCTTTGCCCTGCACAGTTTTGGCCGCCGCCTTCACAAGGTGGTGCGTCGCCTCCTGCCCGACTGTGAAATCCGCTTCATCCGGTCCGAAGACGGGAGCGGCAAGGGAGCTGCCATGGTGACGGCAGTGGCGTACCGGCTGGCCGCCCAGCACAAGGCCCGCCAGGAGATCCTCAGCCCCCTACGGCTCAGCCAGCAGCAGCTGCTGGAGGTGAAGAGGAAGATGCAGCAAGAGATGAAGTTGGGCCTGGCCCAAGAGACGCACGCCAAGGCCAGTGTGAAGATGTTGCCCACCTATGTGTGTTCCACCCCTGACGGGACAGGTAAGGAGGCCCCAAGGAGCCCCGCTGGGTTGGAGCTGGTGGGAGGTATGGCCAGGAGTGCAAGCTGGTCGTGACTGACGCAAGTTACAGAAAAGATGTAACTTTCCCAATAAGGCGATGATGCACCTGATATTACCTGCACCCCAGGCGCCCGCATAGTAAACTACAAAAAAGGTCACCCAAACCTTAGCCTGGTGCATGCGCACAGCTGCTGGATTGTTGGTGACCCTGTTGAACAAGTTTGAAGGCAGCCCTGGAGTGCCCCTGGGAGGAATAGAAGCTGTTCCCTCTCTCTGAACATGGCTTCCTGGACATCTGCTAGTCTGCTCTTCCGGAGATTTTCTTGTGGATTGTTTCCTTGGAGCAGATTTGTTTGTCCCCTCAAAGGACCACCTGGGGCAGCCCCTCACATTGACCTCTGCTGAAGCCTGCCTCTGGGGTGTTTGCCTCCACGCTTAGCCCTTGGTTGCTCTCTGGCCTTTGCGTTGGAGGGAGGTGGCTTTCTCGCTTGCCCCCTAATGGTTTTGCTCGTGACCCCCCAGCCAGGAACAGACTGCTCAGTGGGAGCCCTCTTGGGAGGGCAGGCAGACGCTCTTTCCTTGAAGTCTCCCCTAGCCTGGTGCCTCCCTTGGGGGTTTTGCAAGGTGCTGCTACCCGTGCATCTGGGGGATATCCCTGTGGAGAAAGAGGTCTGAGGAGTTCATTGGTATCTCCTCCAGCCTTGTGACAGCTTCCAGGGCTTTGCAGAAGGAGGCATAGAAGTTCTCCTGATGTTCAGGGTGTCCAGGTGGAGTAGTGGTGGTTGTAAAGGGAGCTGGATTTTGGTTTCAGAAAAAGGAGACTTCCTGGCCTTGGACCTCGGGGGCACCAACTTCCGTGTGCTTCTGGTGCGCATACGGAATGGGATGCGGCGCAGTGTGGAGATGCACAACAAGATCTACTCAATTTCAGAGGATATCATGCAAGGGACAGGAGAGGAGGTAAGTGGTCCTTGGAAAAGTGGGAGGGGCTTCAGTGGATGGAGAAGCTGTAGCAAGTCCAGAGAGGCCTTCCTTGGAGGTAGAAGGTCGCCTGGCATCTTGGCTTAGAGGCCTCTGGAACAGCTGGCAGGCAGTAGGAGTAGGAGCCTACTGCCGGGGGCAGCCGGGGCGGGTGTCATAAAAGTCAAGATGCCCTCATTTCCTGCAGACATCTCTGCCCATCACATTCTGGTATAATAGAGTTGGTTAATTGTATGTCAGGCATTTTGATGGTTTTAAGAAGAAGTTTTACCCTTGCTGTGGTGGGTTTCTTCTGGGAAATGCAGCCTTCCTCCCCTTGTGAAGAGGTACTAGACAGGGACACATTCCTTTGCAAGCCTTACTCTAGAACAGTGTTTCTCAACCTTGACAACTTTAAGATGTGAGGACTTCAACTCCCAGAACCCCCCACCCATGGGGAATGGCTGGCTGGGGAATTCTGGGAGTTGAAGTTGGAGTTGAAGTCCACACATCTTAAAGTTGCCGAGGTTGAGAAACACTGTTCTTGAACAGTGCCTGAGCCCGCTTTGGCCGTAGGTCTTTTTGTCTCAGAGAGCAACAGCCAGAACCTTTTTCATAGCCATTTGCTTACAGAAGGGTGGAAAGATTTTAGGAAAGGAGGAGCAGATGCCTTTCAGCATTGTGGCTGTGCTAACTCAAGAAGATAGGGACCTTATCTCACGCCACAGGACAAAATCCAGGGGTGCAAATATCACTGGGATGCCTTTTCAATGAGCCTCCATCCTGAAGGAAGGGAAGCCACAGTGACATGAGTCATGTTCTAGAGTGAATCGAGTTCAACTCCTCTGCCCCCCGCCCCAGCCACCTTTACGGTTTAATCCAGGCCGCTTCCAGTGCTCTCTCTGGGTCACTGTGGGGTCTTTCTGTACGGCTGGCCCCAGAAGCGCTCACTGTGCTTCCCTGAAGCTGGCAGAGTGCTGGGAAGCAATGGCCCGGAGGCTCTATCAGCATGGCAGGCGATCCGGGCACCTTCCCTCGTGGGGTCTCTTCTAGGTATGGTGGACTTCGGCTCCTGTCAACCCAGCTGCATGGGCAGTGGTGCCTGGGAACAACAGGATCTGTAGCCTTCAATGTCTGGGGCACGCTGGGTTGGAGGAAGCTGGAGTTGGAGATACATTCTGCAGTTTCAGATGTCAAAATGTTGGGTGTTGGGTTCCTTCAGAAGGCCCTTCCGTCCCTTCCGCTCAGGCGTTCTGGAGCACGGTCTCAGCCGCAGCTCGGCTTTAATTAAGGTTAGCAGCTCCATCCCTTGTTTCTCCTCACAGCTCTTTGATCACATCGTCCACTGCATTTCGGACTTCTTGGAATACATGGGGATGAAGGGGGCTTCGCTTCCTCTAGGATTTACCTTCTCCTTCCCTTGTCAGCAAAAGAGCCTTGATGAGGTAAGCCTTTTCCCCGCTGCTTCCAAATTGGGTTGCTGGGCTTATAGGCTGCTCCGACGGCGAACAACACCGAGCAGTGTGCAGCCCAAGGTACCTAAGTTGGGTTAAATAAATGCAATTTCATGCAATAAAAGCGAAATGTATCGATAACATTATAGTAGGTAAATAAAGCACGGGAATGTCAGTCAGTGAATTGATTAACTTCCACTGCCCGAGGGAATAAGAACACAATGTTCCAGCCCCAAGGCCTGCTGGAATAACTCTTTTTTCATAGCTTTCCTAAAAACCAGCAGAGAAGGAGCCATATGGGGGGCTGCTGTTTGGTTTATTTTTCAGCACAGTGTCTGAACCTGCCAAGACGGCTTGGCCCACTAGCCACTGATTTTGCTGAACATGGTAGGAAGGGGCCAGTGCAGGGCTTTACCCTCCACCCACAAATGTTCAGTTAGCAGTTTGGAAGCCACATTCTCTGTTTTCTGGTAGTACTGGTTGAAAATATCTAGAAACAAATAACTTTGCTTTATTTGTTTATTAAATTTGTTGGTGTTTAGAGCATTTGTATTTTTAAAAGTAAGCTGGATAGATTGGAGCTGGTCACTTAAACTGAGCCCATGTGGGTGAAGAGTTTTACTGGGTGATTCCGAGATGGTTGCTGGTTCCTGGGTCCCCAGTTCCCTGCCTCTCATCCTTATTTTTCTTTTCTGTCTTTCTCAGGGCATTCTCCTGCAGTGGACCAAGGGCTTCAGTGCTTCTGGTTGTGAAGGAGAGGACGTTGTGGGCCTGCTGAAGGAAGCCATCCATAGAAGAGAGGTATATCGCTGAGATAAGTGTTGCTAATTAAAAAATTGATCCATCTGGAGAGAAACGCTTGGCTTGATACAAAACCAAAAGAGCACGATTGGACTTTTCTTAATTTGGATTGAGGTTGACTGATTTTGATTTCTAATTTCTTTTTACCTTGGGGTAGTTTCCTGTTCCCTCATAGCAAACATTGGAAGCCAAGTCTGTCAGGCACTGCAGTCCTTAACCCCAATAAAAAGAAACTCTCTCCAGAGACTCAGCAGGTCCGAAAGAAAATCAGTTTATTGATGATTAACACACAGTCCTTAGCAAGGAATTGCTGAAACTGAAAAGCCCATGGAAAGCAATGCTTTCTTAACCTTTCTAATTGCCCCCCTTTTCCCCCCATTCTGGCGCCCTTCTCTGCTCTCCTGCCGGTACGACCTTGGCATTCCCGAAGACTAGAATAGGCGAAGCCATCTGCACCAGCCGTTATGCACCTAACTGGCGTTACTCTCTCCCCGGTACACCTGTGGCAGAACTGAGCAAGCTGGCAATTACAATTAATCAACACAGTTAATTGCGAGGTTCTGACATTCTGCTCCTCCAGGAAGAAGGGATTCGCAACACAGAAAATTATATCTGTAAAAAGAAACAGAAGGAAAGATACGTTGTCATCTACTGATACATAATAACATGTAGGAAACAGTTATTTACTTTATCTGGATACCTTTTAAAAAATTCCATCACAAGTTCAGGTGCTTTTAAATGTCTTTCATCCACCCACTCATAATATGATTTAGGGAAATGTTTCCATTGCACCAGGAATTTTACTTTCCCTTTCTTCTCCGGGAGTCTGAGGTCTCTTGGACTTCAAAGTGCTGCTCTCCCTCAACCACAATTGGTGTCGTGCTGAGGGACAGGGGTGCCACCTAGTGGATTCCTTAAAAGGTTTTGAAAGATTACCATGAAACCCGGGGAGGATTTTCCTGTAAGTTTTAGGCAAAGTCAGTCTGAATGAAACAGGTCCAATCACTTTCTCTGTAGGGAAAGGTCCAATAAACGTACAACTGTGGTAGAACGGAGCAAGCTGGCAATTACAGTTAATCAGCGCAGTTAATTGTGAGGTTCTGACAAAGTCTCTTTTTCTTTTTTCTTCTTAGGAGTTTGAACTGGATGTGGTAGCCTTGGTGAACGATACGGTGGGCACCATGATGACTTGTGGGTATGAAGACCCTCTTTGTGAAGTGGGGCTCATTGTTGGTAAGATCCAAACCTTGGTGGTTAAAGCAGCGTTTTAATTGGTTTGGGGAATTCTGCCGTTAAAAAAAGGTCTCTTCCATACCCTCTTTGTGAATGAAGCCAAGCAGCCGCAGATACATTTTGTCCTTATATTTGGGCGAAGGGGCTGTAGGGTGAGAAGCTGAGGGGAGTGCCAAGGCCCTCTGTGCTACTGGAGGTGGTGCTCAGCCCCACTCTGGCTCCCGAGTTCAGACGTTTGTAGGCTTCACAGTCATCTCGTTTAGCAACTTACTGATAATCACATTAGTAAACAAAACAATAAAACAAAATCCAACTCTGAACTTTGTGGTACATTTGCCTGATGAAAGGCTAGGCTGAAGATGCTGTGACAGGGGTCTTCAATTCAAAACACCCTAATTGTTTCCTTCCTCCCAGGACCTATAGGCTTTCTTAAACCATGTTGTTGGGATATCTCGTGTGAGTGGAATAGTAAGCTTCACGCAACAAAGGAAAACCATGGCAGTCTAAAGAAACACAAATAAGTTAATGTTTTAAAACGGAATTATATTTTATAAAGTAGAAAATATAATAAGTAGTATTGGAAGAGTCCAGTACTACTTAGTGGCTATATGTAGAGGAGTACACAGATGGCCTTGGAGAGAACATGCGGCACTCATTAGTAAAACATGAGCTTAGCCTGGGAAAACAGTGAAGGGTGAAAAAGAAACTCAGGACTGCCCCACCTTGACTTTTTGGCGTAAGAGGGAGGGAAGGGGAAATGTGATCAGGCTTTCAAGATTTTGCTATTAGACCCTATATCAATAAACTAGAGTTCTTGCATTTCTTCTGGGGTCTGTTTCCCCATCTGGCCTACCGTGGCACCATTGCATCTGAGGGCAAAGTGGCTTGGCTTCTTGCCGCTGTGCCCCCGTGGTTTTCATCTGTAGGAAAAGAGGTTTTTGGTGGTGGTGGTGGTGGTGGCAGTAATGGGGTGTTACATCCACCTCCCTCTCATGTTTACATGCTTGGCCTCATGGTCCATGTCATTTTTTCTGTCTTCTGCCTCTTCAAAAAGCAGAGGGTGTTTTTCGGGCCTCTAAGATCCTCTCCCTGTGGCATTTCCAGGAACTGGCACCAATGCCTGCTACATGGAGGAGCTGAAAAATGTGGAGCTGGTGGCTGGGGACAAGGGCAGGATGTGTGTCAATATGGAGTGGGGTGCCTTTGGTGACAACGGCTGCTTGAATGAGTTCTGGACGGAGTTTGATGCCATTGTGGACGAGAACTCCCTCAACCCCGGGAAGCAACGGTGGGTGAACTTGGGGGAGATTTTCATGTGCCTTCCTTTTCCTCCAGGGTTAGCGGGCACAAAGGAGTGGGTGCCTATGAACGATGGGATCCACAGCCCCTGATCTACCTGGACATGTCCTTGCTGGATCCCCACAACACACCTAGATCATGCTGAAGTGGGATTAGATTGCTTGGTTCCACATTTGGGGGATCCAGCCATCATCGAAGCATGTTGTGCAAACTGGGTTTTATGCTAGGCTATAATGTGGTTTATTTATTTGGGCATCATGTATTGCTGAGCAGTAATAGGGTTTCATTTACACAAGTTTAACATGCATGAACCCACTCTCTGGGTTAGTTTCCTCTAGCGGTCCTTGCTCACAACCTTATCCTCCCTCTCAACATTTCAGATACGAGAAAATGATCAGCGGGATGTACCTGGGCGAAATTGTCCGCAATATTCTGATTGATTTCACCAAGCGAGGGCTGCTCTTCCGTGGGAGAATCTCTGAACGGCTGAAGACGAAGGGGATCTTTAAGACTAAGTTCCTGTCTCAGATTGAGAGGTGAGATCAGGTCAGATCTGAACAGGAGAAGGGGGAGGACAGAAGAGACCCCCCATCTCTGGGGCAGGAGTCAAACTGACCACAAGCAGGAGAAGAGGGAGGTGGAAATGGCTGGCATCTTCCCTTCTTGGACCTTGCTTGAACTCTCCTGGAGCGCCAAGACTAGCTTACTCTTGTTTATTATGGGATGGGGCGGGCAAAAGGGCTGTTCAGCTTCTTCCTTAGGAGTGACTGCTGCCTCCTAGTGGCCAGGTTTAGTTCCCCTTTTGCAGCCTTTCCCAACCACCAGCTACTCTCCAGGAATACAAATCCCATAACATCTGATCTGGCCAGCTTGGAGCAGGTTGGTGCATGACAGCAGCTGTATTCTGGTCCTAGGCTGGAGTTGTAGCAGAGCCCTAGCCAAGTGTAGTTTTTTTTCCCTTCTCTGTATGTTGTGTGCTATTTGAGTCATGCAACGGACACATATAATTCTTCTTGCTGTTTTCTTCTTCCAACATGAGAAGGAAAAAGGTAGTGTGATTTTCTCTCTCTCTAACTTTATATTCTTTGTGCAAAGCAAGCATGCAAAAAGTTAACTGCACGTACATAAGCTCTCACTCACACACGCACGTACACACACAGATGACGACGATGGTCTCTGTTGCATTATGTCCGATACTCCGCGATCGTATGGACCAGCTCTCTCCTCATTTTCCGATCTTGTACGGCTTCTTTCAGTTGTTTTATGCTCTGGTCAGTGTCGGCTTTGATGGTGTCCGGCCACCATGTTTTTTGGTGGCCTCATTTCCTTTTACCGCTGACCATTCCAAGCACAACTGCCTTTTCCAGCGAGTTTGATCGCGTGACATGGCTGAAATAAATAAGGCGGAATGTTGCGATTTTGCCTTCCAGCAAAGACATGTCTGGTTTCACACGCACCAGAACTTGCTTGTTTGTCACCAGTGCCGTCCAAGGAATGCGCAGGAGCCTTCTCCAACCCCACAGCTCGAACGGGTCGATTTTCCTGCTGTCTAGTTTTTTCACGGTCCAACTTCTGCAACCGTAGGCAGCCGTGGGAAACACGATCTGCATTTAGTTGCCAGGCCGATGTCCCTGCTTCTCCATATTCGATTCATGCTCATCGTTCCTGTGCGACCTAGTGCGATTCAACACTATTTCTGGACTGCATTCACTGCTTTGAACAATCTCCAATCCTAGGAATTGGCAATAAAATATTCACTTTCAATCTCTTCACCGTCAGTTTCTATTTTGACATTTCCACTCCTCACAGTGGTCATGAGCTTGGTCTTTCTGATGTTCAGGAAGAGGCCAAATTTCATGCTTTCTTCTTTCATCCTTTTGATCAGAAATTTCAGGCTTTCTTTGGTTTCTGAGAGGAGAGTTGTGCCATCAGCATATCAAAGATTGTTGATGTTCCTTCCTCCAATCTTTACTCCGATAGTTGATTCTTCAAGTTCAGCTTCCTCGTGATCGCTTCGGCATACAGGTTGAATAAGAAAGATGAAAGAATGCAACCTTGCTGCACTCCTTTCTCTATCTTGAACCAATCAGTGTCTCCATATGGTGTTTGCACAGTGGTTTCCTGATTTGCGTAGAGTGACCCCACCAACTTGGCCAGATGTGTTGGCATCCCCAGATCTTCTATGGCTCTCCACAGCTTGTCATGATTAACACAATTGAAAGCTTTCTTGTAATCAGTAAATGTTCTTTTGATATTCTTGAGATTTTTCCATGATCCACGCACACACTACAGGAGCATTAATCAGATTAGTTTCTGTGGAAAGAAGTAATTAATCATGCAAAAGCTCAGAGGAGGATCTCTTTGAAGAAAGGGGCAGGTGAATTAGCAATAACGTATTCTTGGCTGTTGATTTTCAGAACTTTCAGATTCATCAGAAATGAACTGGAAACTGTGAAGTAACTCAGATTCCTCCTGGCTTAGTCCCCCCCCCCCTTGAAATTTCCACTGAACTCCATTTTGGACAGAACCTCAGAACTTGTTTGTGTCCCAGCCCTAACTGAAGCCGGGACAAGAGAGGGTCCTCCTGAACCCAGCAGGTGTTTTGTGTCCTTGGGCCACACCCTCCCAGAACGATGGGAGGGCCCTGATGCCAGCCCTAGCAGGAAAACCAACTCCATCAGAATGCTAAAACTACCTTGACTGAGATGGGCTCTAACAACAGACTCTTGCAAGTCTGATTGTGTGGGACCTTCTCCCCCTTCTTCTACTCCAGTGAATTAGGGAGGTGTTTGTCTGAGCCTCTTCCAAATGTTATCTCATTGTTCTGGACTTAAAGAAGGTTTCAGCCCCTTTTACCTTGATAATGATTCCTGCATATCTCCATCAAGGTCATCTTCCTTACTTTCTACATCAGGCCAGGTCCGTTCTGCTGGAATGGACAAGACCTGCCCTCCTCCTCCCCACATGGTTCCTAAGCCTGTGTGCCCCTTTTTGTGCCCCCAGTGATTGCCTGGCACTGCTGCAGGTCCGTTCCATTCTCCAGCACCTCGGCCTGGAGAGCACGTGCGATGACAGCATCATTGTGAAGGAGGTGTGCACCGTGATTGCTCGACGCGCCGCTCAGCTGTGTGGGGCAGGAGTGGCAGCAGTGGTGGACAAGATCCGGGAGAACCGGGGATTGGACATCCTTAAGGTCACTGTCGGTGTGGATGGGACCCTCTACAAACTCCATCCTCAGTAGGTTCCTCTGCTTGGGCTCCTTTCTCTTGGGGTGGGAGGGGGGGTTTGATGGCCTAAAGCAGTATTTCTCAACCTTGGAATCTTTAAGATGTGTGGACCAACTCCCAGAATTCCCCAGCCTTGCTGGGGAATGGTGGCTTGGGAATTCTGGGAGTTGAAGTCCACACTTCTTAAAGTTGCCAATGTTGAGAAACACTGGCCTAAAACAACTCCTGAGATTGGAGGTAGAATAGATCCCTGTGGCTTCCTGCTGCCCAAAGGCCCCAGAGCTTTCTCCCATTTGCATGGAGGCAGCCTTTACATTTTTGCAAGCAACTTCCTGCACAGCGTAGCCTGACATTATGCCACAGGCACCATCCTGTAGCATGATTGCACAAGGTTTACCATGACAGGAGCTGCAATTATTTGATCCCCGTTTCCTCAGATATTTGGGAATAAATCTGCAAGGCAGATCCAGAAATATTTGGATAAACAGTTAAACTGAGGATCATTGGCATTTTTGTTGCACCGTCAAGGAAGAAAAATGAAGGCAAAAATGTCAGACAAAGCTCTATACCCAAAGGCAGGGAGAACAGGATGAGGAAGGAAAGAAGAAAGCCAGCTGACAGTCTCATGTTCCTTTTTGCTCTCTCTGCAGCTTCTCTGCGGTGATGCACGAAACAGTGAAACAGCTTTCGCCCAAGTGCGAGGTGACCTTCCTCCAGTCCGAGGACGGCAGCGGGAAGGGGGCAGCACTTATCACTGCGGTTGCATGCCGGATGCGGGAGGCTGGCCAGCACTGAGAGTGGGGTCCCCGAACACCGCAGGCGTGGCTCCCCATTGCTGCTTCTCCCCCAAATCTCCAGACCACTCCAGGCTGAATCCTTGTGTCTTCCGAAATTGCCTCTGCTGGAGCCCGTGCGGGCCTGGGTCTTTGCACATAGATGTGAAGCTTACCTGTGGGGTACGAGTATCTCCTTCCAGATGATCTCTGGTAGCTGTCAGGTGTCATTCCATATGAAGGCGCTCCATTGTCACTTTACAGCTGCAGCTTCTGGTCCTGGGCTAGGTCCAGACCATAGCATAGCACAAATACACCTATTTCCATTAAATGCAGTGAGTGTATTCATTTTGTGACTTAAACATTTGCAGTAAGAATAGCAAGTATCCGTATGAAGAAAGTGGGGATGTTCTGCAAGAGCTGTGATAATGATTCTTGAGTTGAGTTTACGGGACTTGGGTGAGCAAGTGCCTGGATATCACTGGACCCCGAGAGATTGCCAACTGATCCTTCCCTCTGAGATACTGCGTTGCCATCCAGAGCTTGTGCTCCAGAGCTACCATAGCCTAGCTGCTGCTTTCTGCTGTAAACAGACCACCCGTCAGTCCAAAGGGGTCCTTGGACCCTTAAGCTGGCAAAGGGCTGTCGTGGTTACGTCCTGGAGGGAGATGCTCCCTGGGAATCTCTCGTTCGTTAAGCCCCGTCTTTGCTTTCCCTCACTTGTGAACCAGTATCTTAATTCTGTATCTGGAGAGAAGAAAGGCCAGCAGCTTTTGTCTGTAAAAAATTACTAATATGTGTAGCTGAAGGAGGGGAGGGGGTGCCAGGAAATAACCCTGCTGCAAGATGAAAGTGGGGCTCAGGGAGGAATCTCTGGGAAAGGTGGCTGTTCCAGGGTTGTTCCACGAAGCCTGAAAATGGGAATGCCAAGCTGTGATCCTGTCTTCCCGGCTACTTCTGGCCCTTGCAGGTGTGCTCTGGGGGCAACTGGGGCAATGAGGGGCATAGCTAACAACAAGCCCCCCCCCCCCCCCCCC